ACAATTGGTGGTGCTCTTAGTGGGTTCGCTGTAAGTTTTTTTTTTTTAAATTCTAAATCAATTGACATCACATTGGTTAATTTCACTAACACATTATGATATTTATTAACTTGTTTAGTCATATTTCATAGTCCAAATATCTGGAACTTCATTAAGTGGTTTTCAATGGTTATTTATAATTGAAAACATTCCAACCTTTATTTTGGCAATAATTATCGCTGTATTTTTGACTCGTGGACCTGGAAATGCTCGTTTTTTTACTCCTGAAGAACGTAATTTCGCTGTTGAACGGTTAAAATCTGAGGGTGGTCCCGTTGAAATTGATAGTAATCTCGCCAAGGCTCAAGTAAAATTTGCCTTCACTGATACTTTAACTTATATTTACACAGTATTGATTTTAATTACTGGGATTCCATTCTATGCTCTTAATTTTTACCTTCCAACTTTAGTTAGTCAACTTGGTTTTAATGATTTACAAGCTCAATTAATGGTTATACCACCACTTATTATTTCAACTATATTTATGGTTCTTAGTTCATGGCATTCTGATAAGTATCAGACAAAAACCATAAATTCATTGATTTCTTTTTTATTAGCCACTATTGGATTGGTGGGAATGCTAGCAACACGTGCAGATGATCCTAGTTTATATAATTTAAGATATTTTTTTACTATTCTTTTGGCATGTGGGGTGTATAGTGTGGTGCCGGTAATGTTTAGTTGGTTCTCCTGTAATATTCGTAAGTATTTTTTTTTTTTTTTAAAAAAAAAAAAAGCAATATAGATTAATGTTTGGTAATGTTTACTAATATTATCTAATTTTAATTCTTAAAATTTCAAAACAGCTGGTCAATATAAGCGCAGCACGATGACTGCTATAATATTAACTTCTAATCAAATTGGAGGTATCATCGGGCTTTTAATATTTCCAGCTACTGATGCTCCATCATTCTTTATGGGAAGTTCCGTATGCTTAGCTGCAGTGATTTTATCATCTATTATAACTATTGGATTAAAATTTTATTTGGAATTATTAAATAAGAAACGTGATTTAGCTATTTTAGCAAATCACAATTATAAGTTAAATGATAATGATTTGAAGAATAATAAAAGGATTAGAGAAATTGCTATGGAATTGGTGGAAAAGGAACCAAACTATGATGAAGTTTTGTGCGATAGACATCTTAATTGGAGGTATATTACTTAAAAATATTGGTTGTAATATATATATAAATTATATATTTAATATGCAAAGTTTTCAAATAGTTTACTTTAAATTTTTCATGCTTACTAAGTTATATATATCTATATGTATAATAGAGCTTTCTAGCATCTACATTATTTAATCTATAATTTTCTCAAAGACGATCTATCTGTGCAATTTACTTTAATTTTTATTTTAATAAAATTGTTCCACTTGAATGCGTGCAGGTTAGCAGCGCATTAATCAGCCAAAGTAATTTGTGCAAATTTAAAAAATTCTAATTTATCAAATAATTTTACTTATAGTATTAAATTCAAGTACAAATTTTCATGTGAATTAAGTGAACTTTTGTGCAGATTGCATGCAAAAGTGTAATGTACACAAAGAGACAAAATCCTTCATTCGAGAGCTTTTTGCTCATATAACTTTTGGCTAATGCTTGGGTCCGTGAATATCCGACTATTTTTAGCTCAGTCCGCTGGATTTATTATATCTGCTTATAAGTTTGCCCCAACTTATAAAAGCCATATATATTTACTCTATAAATGCAAACACCTTCTAAGTGCAAAATTTTAATATTTTTTTACTATGGTCCCGGCGGGATGCAATTAAATGTGAATGCATATACATACACTATGTACCATTTTTTTCTCAATTCTTACATTACATTATTAATTCACAAGATTCACTGCATTAATGAGATGCTTTGTCTTGTTTAATTAAATAAATTAGCTTCACACACTAACCAGGATACTCAAATATATTTTTAATTACTTCCAAATTTCGGTGAAATTTAGTTAATTTCTATTAGTATATTTTTTTCGTTATACGTTTTGACGCAGAAATTTATTTTATCTCCAAAACGTATAACGAAATTCGAAAAACTATGAGAAAATATATTATTTTATTTTTAATAATTATTATTTTTATATTAAGTTGCTTCTGCATGATAATTATAAAGAAAAAACGTCTTTAACAAATAATACAAAAGAAAAAAACATAAAATGGCTATCATTCGAATACTTTGTTTAATAAAAAATTGCATTATTGATTATTCTTTGAACGTGTAATGTGTCTTACAATTAAAAAAAATTATATTTTTTTAATTGCTTCTAACCATTTTATTAAGCTATCCGAATCACACGAAGTAATATATTTGAATCAATTTGTGAAAAAAGCTGTAAATTATTGATAACAAATCGTTAAAATATCTTCATAGATCACATGAAAGTTGAATACCATAAAACTTGGAAATAAGTCCACGCCTATATTATCAATCTCTCTAAAAAACCTAACTACAAACGAATAATTATAGATAACATTAACAGTGTTTCAAATCCAAGACTTGACTGCTCTTCTTTTAAAAAATCCTCTATACCAGAATCACATTAAATTTCTTCAAAGCCAAAAATATAAAGATATATACTGCTTCTTCTTTTCCAATATTCAAAACTTCACATTTAAATGAGCCAATATTCAAAGTAGAATTAACCAGATCTGGATCAATCTATCCATTACTAATATTGAATAGGGCTGTTAATCGATCCGGTCCGGACCAACGATCCTTCGGTCCATCCAGGGATTGGGCTAGTCCGGTCCCTTTTAGGATGGACCGAAAGGATCGTTGGTCCTAATAGTAAATATCAAATAAAACTTATTATCTTGATAATACGCATTTTAAACCAACTATAAAATGCTGTTTTTAGTTAAATCTAAAAAAAAAGTTCGTTATTGTCAATTACAAACCCCATAGTTTGTTAAACAAGATTAAACTATAATACATATATAATGAGAACGGGCTGCTGTTAATATTAATAAATAAAGAAATTTATTAATGACGACAATGGAGTAATCAGTTGATTTATAATTGCGGCATGAGTTTGAAACAAGCTAATAATTCATTTAGCCGAATGATAAGAATTATGATTTGCATTCTGCTAAATCAACTACTAGTTTACCTCAAACTTGTGTTCCACACCTATATGCAAATACAGTATATTGTTCAAAATCTATATTAAGTGTAATCTGCTCGATTCGCATACAGTTTTGTATCATTATTGTTAAATTTATAGATTATTAGACTATTCAATATCGATATGCAAAATTCGTACTGATAAGGATTTATGTATAATGTGGATCATCTGGATTTAAACAAATCATACACTAGTGCTAGACGATAATCCAAAGATTACAACGCCAAAATATCACATACTAAATTTGGCTAATTTATTTTGAAATCAAATTTGCATATTTCATGTTGTTTTTAAACTTTAAATTCTTGCTGGCCAATAACTTTAACAACCAGGCTTCCTAAATTCTCACGGATATATATCTATATGAAAATTGCTACTTAATATGTTTGATGTAATCATTTCGCTAATTTGTTCACTTTTTATATTTACATTAAGCTTATTATAGATAATTAATTATTGTTGAAACTTAATAAAAAAAATTACTATTGTATTGTAATGTTAAATTATTTATTTTCCAAACTATATTTGTCTACTATATTTTTATATAAAATAAATTTGACATATAAGTGCCACTAAAAGAAAACCTGTAATCGGGCTTTCAATTATATTTTGCACCGGACATATTCTCTAAGAAATTAAATAGATTTTGTCCGATACAAAATATAATTGAAAGCCCGATTACAGGTTTTCCCTTGGTGGCACTCATATAAAAGATAGTAGTACTAGTAAATTTTAAAATTTTATCACACTGAATAGCATAATTCTAATATGAATATCCATATCTGCAAGTCATATAATAGTGTTGAATGACAATTTGGATAGCAGTTCGAGTAATATTCAAATTATGCTATTCAACATAGTAATAATGGAATTTTTAATTTTATCAGCATAAGATAAATGCCGCAAACAGGAATTTTGATAGCTGTAAATAATAACATAATATTATAAAGAGTTTAGTACAAGATAAATTTAGATATTATAGCTAACGCCAAATGAAATCTTTAAAGCCTTGTATAATTAACCATTTTAGTCTTATAGATTTAATCAAATAGTATTTAGAAATAAATTATATTAAATAAAAATTTATCGAATATTTTTTACAAGTTTTGTCCTGTATTACTTACATATAAAGTAGTTCTTGTAGCAAAGCCGTGAGCAAGCTAATATTTATGCATTTTCAGCCAAGAACCTGTTATTATAAAGAAATCTATATATATTTAATAAGTGATATAAAGTTTTTTTTGTTAAGTAATTTAAGAGCGATAATAAATAATTAATTGATTTATACAATTTAGCTATTAATTAATTTGGCGAAATTGTAAATTTGATATCAATAAATTACTTGTTACTATCAAAAGTAAAATTTGTAAATTTCTATATAAATAAGATATTAAAAATAAAAATTTATTGTTTATTATCTATATACCTTTAAAATTGTACTTTAACTATGAATCGTGATCCTATTGTAACTCGTTCAAAAGCAAATTCAAATATTGATGAATCTTCGTCCGATAGTCTTGATAGTTCAAGTAGCAGTAATGAACAAGAACCTGATAACTTCGATGAGTTTCAAGTTACTCAAGATATTGAAAGTCCAGATAATTTAACTGAATTCGAACAAGATCAAGATATTGAAAATCTAGATAATTTGACAGAATTTGAACGAAATCAAGAAGATGAAAGTTTTGATACTGAAATGTATGATAATTCATCTACATCGCATAATAATGAAAATTCTACTGAAAATATTCCTATAACTCGTTCAAATAAGCAACAATCCTCACATGTATGGAAATTTTTTACAGTACTTGCTACAAAACAACGTAAATGCAATCATTGTAAACGTATCTTTAGTAATAAAACAGCAACAAGCACACTTGATCGACATATTCAAACACAACATATAGGGCTATATAATAATTTTCGTCAAACAGCTTTAGATCATTATAGACGTCCTGAACCATATCCATATAATATTCAAGAAAAAAAAATAGCTCTTTTGTTAAAGTGGATTGTTGTTAACTTACAAGCATTTCGGGTTGTTGAAAACTTACATTTTAAACAATTTATTTTTGATCTTGATCCACGTTTTCAGCTTCCTTGCCGGCAAGCACTTCAAAATTTAATTATTTCTAAGTTTGAATTACAAAGAACTTTAATTAAAAATTTTATTTCCAATCTTTCTTGTAAAGTTACTTTGACAACTGATATTTGGAGTTCTTGTACCATGACAAGTTTTATAGCAATAACTTGTCATTTTATAGATGAAAATTGGAATCTATGTCATCTTCTTTTAGATGTTTTTGAAATCCCTTCACCTCATACTGGCCAAATAATTGCAAATATTATTTTATCCCTTTTAAATGAGTTTCAATTAGAAAAAAAAATTTTAGCATTAACTTCGGATAATGCTAGTAATATTGTCTTAGCTAGTAGTATAATTAAAAATACTCTTGCTAATAATTTTTCTAATAGTTTATTTCAACATATTCGCTGTGCTGCACATATTATAAATATTGCAGTTAAAAAAGGCTTAAAGTTAGCAAATAGATATTTAATTAAGCTTCGTTATTTTATTAAAAAAATTCGTAAATCTGCACTTTTTATTGAAGATTTAAAACGTATAACAGCTTCTTTTGATCATCCTTTTTTAAGACCAATTATTGATTGCTCAACCCGATGGAACTCATCTTTTTTGATGATAGACCGTGCAATAGTTTTGCATATGGATTTAGATTCTCTTGTTATACGACATTCAACATTGCGTGATTTACAACCTTCTGAAAATGAATGGAATATTCTTTTAGTAAGTATTATAAAATATTTTAAAAAAATTCTACTTTTGCCTAAATTAAAGTATCTAATAAATTAGAATAATAAATATTAATAATATATAATACATATATAATAATTTTTTTAGGAACTTCGTAATTGTCTAAAACCATTTAATACTGCAACAGAAATTCTTTCAAAGTCTAACTATCCAACAATTGCCGATTTACGTCTTATTATTTCAGGTTTATTCAATCATCTTAATGCCTTTAATAGTGACTATCAAGATATGAATGCAGTAGTATCTAAAATTAGAGAAAAATTAGATGAATACTGGCCAATTATGCAAGAAGCGAGTAAGATTGCTGCTTTTTTTGATCCACATTTTAAACAAATTGTTTATTCAGAAAATTCAGCAAATGAAATTTTGGCTTCAATCCGTGCAAATCTACCAGTAAACTCTGAATCTATAGTTCAACCTCCACATATCTCAAAGCGTATTCAATTTCTACAAGAATATAATAGAACATCTATGTTAACTACAACTTCTGACTTAGATGAACTTACTCGATATTGGGAAATAATTGCTCCACCTGAAGAAACTTCTGTTTGTGATTGGTGGAAAGCTAACCAAAGGGCTTTTCCGAATTTAGCTACTATGGCAAAAGACTACCTAGCTATTATGTCTACTAGTGTTCCGTGTGAACAACTATTTAGTTTAGCTGGATTAACAGTTACTAAATCACGAAACTCTCTTGATAATGAAACAGTTCGAGCTATTTTGTGTTTAAAATCTTGGTTTACTGAAGACTTACCATTCTAAATTTTAGTATTATAAATTTTTTTTTTTTCCTGTTAGCAGGTTTTTTTTTATTTACGTATTTAATTTTATGATGCTTATAAATACGTATAAAATTTTATATTATAACTTTTTATAACCTAAATTTTTTTTAACTTTATATCTAAACACTAGTGGCATACTTTATTTTTTACTTTTTATTTTCTTTATTAAATATATTTGGTCTATAAATTTTTAAATATTTGAGAGAAATATTAAGACCAACAATGTTACATCAATAAATATTTTTTACTATATAAAGAACACAAATAGTATTGTTAATTTACTTTAATATCTTTGTATATTGAAATAGTTTTGTCTTGAATTAGTACGTACAAGATTGAATATTTGAAATTTCTAATTACAATCAAATTATCGATTAAGATAATAAATATAAAGCAAATTTAAAAACAATATTAAGCGGTTAAAAGTAACAAAATATCTTCTCAATTTTTACTATAATGTTCTTATTTAACGAAGTAAATTATAAAAATATAAATATTAATATTATGAATTTGAAAGCTTATTTATTATAAATGCGTTAAAATTCTTATACAGATAAACTTATTTTTATCATTATAGCAAAAAATATTATATTGATTATCAGTCCATCCGATCCAGTCCTATTCGGTCCTAGACTGCAGTCCAGTCCAATTCTTTAAAAGACTGGTAGTCTTTTAACCAGGATGGACCGGACGGACTGATTAACAGCCCTACTATTAACCCTGTCGACTTTCTTATATCACGATTTACTTTTATTACATATTCCTGTTATATCTATAGTTCATAAAGAAAATAAAAAATCTACAAAGCACAGAATGGTTGGCACAAGATGAAAATTTTCATTCCACGAATGTACTGTACGCATGTGCGTGCATAAACCGATAAGTAGATAGAGACAAATACTAGATACAATTTATCCTCATTATTATCAACCATTTGGATCGCTTTTATATTCATGTTGACAATGATATTAATGAGGGATCATATTCAAAGTTGATATACATGAGGGAGTTTTAATAGACTTTTAAATATAAAAATTCATTTTATAATATTAACGTATACGTATCTGGTATGTGTACATACTTACGTAGTATTAACAGTTAGTAAAACATTTTCTAATCTACTAGCGAAACCTGACCTTAGGATTATGGGTATATCTCTTGCGAGATAAACCTAGTCAGGATTGCAATGAGGTAAATTACTATATATATATTTGTTATTTGCTAGATAATTTACTTAAGGCGTGATAAATTACCTATATACAAACATTATAGTGCATTATAAAAACAAATTTATCAAATTTTAATTTACTATAACTTTATCAATCTAAACTATAATATATATTTCACATACCTTACATAAAATATTCGAAAAAATGGTTAATAGATGAGGTATTGTGGTCAGAGGGTTGTTATTTAATATCTCAAGATCTAGTAATTAAATGATTTTTATATCATTTAATCACTTTTAAAACAATCTTATTCAATTCGGATTGCTAGATCACGAGATATATGGTTGCCGTCAATAGAAATCAAGCAGATTGACATTTTTAAAAAAAAATCAATCCTTTAACTTACACAACTTATAACTCGACAAATTTTGAGGCTATCTTGATGAATTAATATTCAAAAGAAAGTTTAGATCTACAGCTTTCTTTTGAATATTAAATCATCAAGATAACCTCAAAATTCATCGAGATATAAATTGTGTAAGTTAAGGGATTGATTTTTTTTTTAAATTTCAATCTGCTTGATTTCTATTGACAGCAACCCATATCATCTATATAAAATATATCTTCGCGCATATTGCTAAATATATATATAATTTTAAAAGTGAATAACTTTTGATTAGTGATGCGATAAAATCGTCCCAATGAATTTTAAGGCATACGGCCAGTTACGGTTACGGTTACGGTTACGACAAAAAAAACGTATGATCCCATTTTACCGTAATAATAATTAATTTCGTAACGATAGTATTATATTAATTAAAGCGTAATTTCAATTTAAGCTATAATTTGTATATAATAACTACTGTATGTCATAAAAATAATAAATAAAATAATTATAAAATAAATTTGCCTCCATTTCATTAAAATTTTTCGTTAGCAAAATCCTTTTTATAATGGATATGCTTAAAAATATTATAATTGAAATATATAAATTAATCCATACTAATAGTATTAGTAATATTTCTCAAGAACCAACTAGTGCTCAGCACAATCAAACAAAAATTTGACAGTCAAATACTTGTTAATACTTGTGATTAAGTCGGACATCAAATGATTGCAGATTAACCAATAGTATATATTTAGCTTTGGTTAATCTGCAATCGTTTGACATCCGATTTAAACATAAGTATTAACAAATATTTGACTGTCAAATTTTTGTTTGATTGTGCCAAGCACTACAACCAACAAAATGATACGTCGATTCAAAGCAACGATACTATTCATAATAATCATCTGAAGAGGAGGCTTTCGCTTCAACTTTACCTAAAAAAAAAAATCGTCGTGGTGGACCTAAATTGGATCCAATTTGAGAGTATTTTGACATTGGAAAATATTTGGAGGCATAACTAGACAATTAAAATAAAAAAATTCTTGTAAATAAAATTTGTGTGTGATTAAGACAAGTTCTTCATGTAAGACAAAAAAACCTATCGTAATAGTCTTCATGCTACTAAGTCAATTTAAAAATATTCACACCCAACAATGTTCTTCGCTAAAGTTCTTCGCGCAATACATATTAAAAGTTCTTCGGACAACAAAGACAATTTAAAAATCAACTTTTAAAAAGTACTTCTCTGAGGCTAATTAAATGCCTTATGCAATTAGATAAATTAACTTACACCGAATTACTTTAGATATATTGTAAATAGAAATATTATGACTACTAATGTATAATCCATTTAATAATAAATGTCCTCTTGTAAATTTATAAAGTTACGACATATGAAAAGTTGAGTTACGGTATATAATAAAGTTTCGACTTGGTATAGATATATTGACATGTTACAACAATACGTTATATTTAAATTTTACGACATGCCGTAATTTAAAACCGAAACATTATAATGAGTTATAACTTAGTTACGTTTGGCTTGTTCCGATGCTTAAAGTTTCTACCGCATCACTACTTTTGATCCACTGATCCGTTTTGAATGATTTAACTACCAAAATAATCAGCTCAGTGAGACGATTCTAATGAACTCAAAATAGTCAAAATCCAAATCAAAGGATCCCGAAATCGTCATAAATTTATAAAATTAAATAGAATTTTTATATATGGGCTGCCGTCAATAGAAATAAGGCAGATTGACATTTTAAAAAAAATCAATACCTTAACTTTCACAGTTCGTATC